TCCCTTAAAACAAGTATGTTTTATTAAGGTCATAATGTGATGAGTAGTACCCATACCATACGCTCTCCCTGCAAGAGATTCTGGTAACCAAACACGACTTCAGCAAATGAATTGTTAAGCCGTGTAAATCTCACATTAAAGTTATATGATCATGTATACCCAATTTATTATCACCTTTTGTTTAGAACAATGAGTTAGTGATTATTGGTATAATTAGATCCTGGTTTGTTCTTTTGTTATAGTATCTTAGTATGTTCTTTCTGTTATCGTGTATTGTATCTTCCTCCCTGTTTCTCTTTATAGTATGTTCTCTATGTTATCGTGTATTGTATCTACCTCCCAGTTTCTCTTTATAGTATGTTCTCTCTGTTCTAGTGTCTAGTGTGAACTTAACCTCTAAACTATACCTATTATAGTTTACTAGTATCTTTACTTTGAACTGTTACTAACTTGAAGAAAAGACTCATTTTATCTACTAAGTTATGATTGTACTTTAAAAACGGAGTTTTATAAACTATAAAGTAACATAACTTAAAAAGAGTTTTTGAAATGTTTTGATCACTTATAAATACATAAGCAATCCTTTAAAAGCTGTTTATAGCAAAACATTTACACAATTATCATTGTGTTCAACTTGTATCCCCCCCCCCCCCTTAAAAGCATTTAAAACGGTTAAAAGGTTGATTATAGGGGTATGAACTCACCTTATGTGGGTGATTTAATCGAATATGCGCGTAAGGATGAGAAGTTCCACGAATGAATTCCCGAGACACAAACGAGTCCTAATGACATATAATGGCATATATTGGCATGAATTTAGTGTTTAAAGCAACTAACATTCAAGGAAACACCCTTAGAGACTAAGAAACACTTGGACCAAGTGTTAGAATCACATGTGATTCATCAAAGGGGTGTTTACGGCCACACATAGGTGTTTACGACCATGATGTTTACAGCCATGATGTTTACGGCCATGATGTTTACGGCCCTTGGTGTATACGGTCGTAGAGTGTACGGTCAAGGGGTTTACGACCGTACACTCATGGGAGGACTTGCAAACGAGGTGTTTTATGGTCCTATCAAGCATTCAACAAGTGCTTTCGATTCTAGGCTCAAATATAAGGGAGTTTAAGGGCCAAAACATCCACCAACACAAGAGTTTACGGCCATGCAAGGGTTTACGGTTGTAAACTCTTGATGCTCATGTATTTTATGATGATCCAAGGCTAGAATCAAGAGTTTAACAAGTCTAACTAGGAGATAGAAGAGATACGCACGTTTTTGAAGCTTGGGAGGGGGTTTACGGTCCAAGAACTAGTGAGTGTTCTTGGTGAAAGTGTTGAATTACTTGAAGATCTAACCAAAAAGATGATTTTCATGGATGAATCAAAAGATGCTTACAAGGCCAAGGAAGAATAACAAGAAGGATGGATGAAATACTTACAATTTTTGAAGATCAAGACGCAGATCCTTATGATACTTGAGAGAGAATTCAAGTGTTCTTGAGGTGAAAGTGTAAGAAATGAAGAAAAGTGAAGGAATATGATACTAGGGGCATGAGTTCACGGATGGCAAGACTTTACGGCCGTAAACTCCTTGAGATGGAGTTTATGGCTTGAATGATGTACAGTGAACTCAAGCAGATACTTCCTAACACTCATTCCTTGGATGTATTAGGTATAGAACACTCAAACAGACTCTTAACAAAGCTAAAAGATAACAGAAACAAGTCTGACATTTGATTGGATTGATTGACTTTACTGGATTGAAATTTTTGGGTTGTCACATTTTCTCAATAGCAAATCACACTTTTCTTGGGCCTTATGGTAATAACTTTGAATATTACCCATATGTTTCCGGAATGAGCCTTTTTTACTCCAATTGTCAAAGCCTTCGGTTATAAATGCATCTCTTCCACCTTGTTCCCCTACCATATCTCCAAACAAGTAGCAACAAAAACAATACACCTTCTTATCTTTTATGCTATATTCTAACCATGGAAAATCAGTAAACCATTGCACAACAAAACGTCTTGGCTTATTACTAAATAATGTATATTCAAAATTATGCCCCTTTGGTTGACAAGGCCCTTTAATCAAATATGCCCTCCTCATTTCATCCCTTTGATTAGGATTATAAGATGTAATCTTTGGCCTATCCCCCGGGTCCGAAGGAAGATCATTCAAATCAAAAAGATTGTGTCACTTTTGGTCATTGGTTGATTAGTTTGTGGAACTTGAGTAGATTCATTAGATTGTGTTTCTTGTGGTTTTGGCATTGGTTGATTAGTTTGTGGAACTTGATTACTTTCATCAGCCCTATTTTTTTTTGGAAGTTCCTTCACCATTGTTGTCTCCAACAACTAAATGTCTTTTGAAAAAACTTTTAATAGCAACCTACAATCAAAATATATGAACTATAAACTTGATTTCAAGTTTCAACAACAGTCAACAAATAACAACCTAGAATTAAATTATCAATTATGAAGATATATCAACTATAATCTTCATTCCAAGTTTCAACAACACATGAACAAATAGCAATCTACAATAAAAATATATCAACTATAATTTGATTTCAAGTTTCAACAACAAATAATCATTAAGTATTAACCCTAAGTCCCTAATTTAACAAAGTTAATTGTTAATTTCTAATTTTTCAAACATAATAACAAAAAGTTAGAATTTGAATTAACCTAAATACATAATAGGGATGAGTATTTTGGTTATACTTACTTGTTTCATTGTGATGGAAGAGCCGAGGAGCGGAGGAGGTGCCCAGAATTTTGCAATTGATAATGGTTAATGTTCCAATGTCGACGATCGCAGCACCAAGGGCAGAAGTCAGAAGACGATTTCGATTTGGAGCTTGGAAGTCGACAATTGAGAAGTCGACTGATGATTGATGAATCACGAAGTAACGATCCAATAACCCAAGTCCCAATACCAATTACGTCCTTTTTTTTCTTTTATTGGGCTTAATACCTCTTTGTTTTAATAAATTAATTGGTGTGGGCTTAAAATTTTTGGACCATTTAAGCTAATTTGTATTTTGGTCCATTTAGAAATAACCTAAAATTTTTTAGGGTAGCCCATTTTTTTCCGATATAAAACCGCAACATATAACGAATTTTTCCAAAAAAATTAACACTACTAAATTTTTTATGAGGGGTATCCCGCGATACCCCGGGATCCATAATGGATCCGCCATTGCTTGTTTTAAGTTAATTTTTAGTGATTAGGTTAATTAATTAAATTCGTTCCCTATGTTCGACCCCAACTTACTTTACTATGTTATACACTAACTAGGTACGCTGCCTATTGGTGCAATAATAGATAAGTAGTTAGGTTATAAATTTAAAGCTAGATAATGTGATATCTTTTGCATACATCAATCGTGGTCATGGCTCTGTTAATTCTTATGGGGTACATTATGTTATGAACTCTACCAGAGAATACAAAATGAAGAATGTGGTTGTTGTTGATAGTTCTAAGAACTTGAGGGGGTGGGGGCAGTGGCGGAACCAGGAATTTTGATATGGGAGTACAAACATTGGCAATATATATTACATGTAGTTATCCAATATCGGACATTAAAAACATGTTATAATCTTTTTAGTTGGGGGTACAATAACATAAAACATGTTTACAAATAATATTTTTTATATATAGAAAACATTTTTTTTGGGGGTACTGTAGTACCCCAACGCCACTGGGTGGGTTGGGGGGGGGGGGGGAGGATTGTGTAAACCAGGTTCATGATGTGGATGGCTCCAACACAATTAACGTTTCCTCATGTTAAGTTTATTTTTCTTATGGAGGTTTGTGCTGTTATGGAGGTGGTTTTTGTGGTTTATCAAATGTTACAGAGCTATGGGTTGCTGGATTTTTTTCAAGGTTTATGTTGATTTGGAGTTGGTATCTTGAGAGACAAGTTTTATCTTTTTTTTTTTTTTTTTTCGGTGTTTTGTCCTATTTTTATCCTTATTTTTGGGGCTTGTTCCAACAATGGCTGATTTCTTTTGGTTCGATCTTTGAATGAAGTTTGTGTTTGTTGATTGGGAAGGTGGCTATTGGTTTGGGTTTAAGTGAGGTTTTTCTTAAGAGTCAGGAACATTTTTGGGCTATTGGTTATTTTAAGTGGTTTAGAGTTTGATATTTGGGTTGTAGTACTAGTAGGAAATGGTCAAGCCAGTGGTTATGGAGATGTTGGCTTAGTTGTTTTAGTTCAAGGGTTGTAAGTTGTATTTGTATTCTTTCATTCTTTATTAATAAATTTTGCCAAGACTTTGTCTAATTCAAAAAATATGTAGGAAAATGGTAAAAAAAAAAAATAGGAGGTTCTCTTATAGAAGCTTACAATGTCTAATTACAATGATTGATATATTCTTTTAGTAAACTTATGTAATACACAAGTCTCACGTAGTTATAATATTAAAAAGTTAAATACAGTTTAACGAGTATTTCATGAATGGTTCTAGTTTGTAGACCGATTTCATAAATTTGTGTCGCTACAAATTTTAAGAGTAAAACTAATGGGCATCAATGTAATTATTTAAAAATAAGTTATTGATTTTCTGAGTTAACTCGGTAGAGGGTCGATATTGACCGAATAATAGTTTTGGGCGGTTGGCATTTGGCATTACTGGAGTGGGCCCTTAATCTATTGCAATCGTCATCGATATCCACACATTAAAGAGTTATACAACTTAAACCGTAACCCATCCAGTAACATACCCCTATCCTCCAAACATGTATGAGAAAATTGTCATTCTTAGACTTTGAATTATAGCTCAAAGGCAAACTTAGTCCCCCCACTTCATCTTCAACTAACTATCATAATTCATTTATTGGAAACTCCCATGAATATCATAAACTCATTTTGAGTGTAAATGGTTAAAAAAATGATTGAACATAGGGCTAGAAAATGTCATTGATGTTAAAATCCGGTAGCAATTGTATTGTAAAAATCATATGAAATCATAGAAAAAGCTAGTGATCATGAGGTCAATGACATTTAAAATATGTAAGGGTCTATTTTATTTATTATTTAGTAGTTTTTGAATGTAAAGAATGGTTAAAAAACATATAAAACTAACGACAGGAAAATCACTTTGGGAAAAAACTTGGTTTTGGAACAAAAAATCGACACCGACACCGACACCAGAAACGATTTAGGCTATCACAATCCGATTTCTGTTTCTACTTTTACCCTTCAACTGATTCCCAATCCGGTTTGGACCGGATCCTTGTAATGCCAACATTACAATGTTCATTTTAAGAATAGATAATGCATGCTAAATTTTGTAAGCAATAAATATATGGAGGTCAATTCTAAAACTTTCAAAACTAAAGGGAGTTGAAGTGGAATTTAGCAGCTTTTATAAACACGGATTTTTCGGAGTGGATCAGATCGAGACGATTGATACGTAGGTCTGTGCAGCAGACTCGACGACGCAAAGATTCTGCAACTCCATTCACGCCCTTTGCGTTCGAGGTTCGTAGAATCACACATAAATACACACAATCACATCGATACTTATACGTTTTAGGTGTATGTATATGTTGATTTTACGAATTTATCTGTTTATCGTATTGACAATTGAAAACCCTAGGTCAACTATCATCAAGGAATTTCAATTCCCTTAGTTCCTAATTCAGTAAATCAAATTAAGACCCTAGTTTCTTTCAAATCCTCGGAGTTGTTTGTTATATGGATTTGGATCTTTTCAAGAAGAGCTTGGATTCGGATATCGTGAAGAAGAGTTTGGATTACACTAGAAAGAGAAAGAAATGGATTCTTCTCATCGGAGCGTTAGGGCTTTCAAGTTACGGAGCTTTTAGGGTTTACAACTCACCTTCTGTGGTGAAGAAGAGGGAGAGATTCGCAAAGGTTTTAGGCTCGTTAGCTTCAATCGCTGAATTACTTGGTGATTCTGCAGAGACAATAGGAGTCGTTTCAAAGGACTTGAAAGAATTCATACAATCTGATTCAGACGAAATCCCAAACAGTCTGAAGCAATTGTCGAAAATCACAAGATCCGATGAAGTTTCAGAATCTATCATTACTGTTACAAGAGCTTTAACTGTGGGAATCTTGCGAGGTTACAAAGTTGGGGAAAGAAAATCCGATCCAGGTAATAGTTTTTCAGATAGAGCTTTAGATAAAATCTTTTCTCCTTCTGGATCTGGTTTCGCCTCCATTGTTGTTGGAAGTTTCGCTAAGAACATGGTCATGGCAATTTACACCGGAAATGGAAACGAATCAAACACCTCAGGAATCTCAGAAACTTCAACCTCTATCCAGAAATTTGTCGATGTAATCGCAGAAGAGAAATGCAAGAAACTAATCGGCGATTGCATCCAACAATTCGTAAGCACATTAGTCACAGTTTACCTCGATAAAACCATGGATGTAAACCCATACGAACAAATCCTCTCAGGTTTCACAAACCCTAAACACGAAGAAAAAGCAAGAGACCTCTTAACTTCCTTCACCAATGGAGCAATCGAGACTCTCGTAAGAACATCCCACCAAGTGATTACAAATCCAGATGCAAAAGGAAAAGAACTGGTTTTAAACGGAATCAAACCAAGAAAAAGTCAAAGTAATTCAGGGTTTGTTCACAAAATCTCTTCAACTTTAGCAGTTCCTAGTAACAGAAAGCTTGTTCTTGATGTAACTGGGCGTGTGACATTTGCAACTGTAAGATCTTTCTTGGAGTTTTTCTTGGATCAATTATCATCAGGTATGAAAAGAAAAGTTGATGGAGTTCATGATGAAGCCATTGATAAAGGGCGTGAAGTTTACAGGTATGTGAGTACAAAATCATATACTGTTATGACTATTTGTCTTTCTGTGTGGTTGCATGTGTTAAGTAGTCCATGGAGTTTTTCATCTACATAATTTGTGGTATGAAATGATGAAAATGAAATTCTTTAGCTTGAATTTAATCAATTTATACGAGATACAATACATGATTATATGTATATATTTGTTAATTGAACAGAATGTACTCATTCTATATAATGTAGTAATTTTATCTTGATATAGTTTTGAATGTTAGGGTTCTTGTTTTGAACATTGGAATTTGATAGATTGTTTGTATGTGAACATTTTTTGAGTAGGACTATAATTGAAACAATTATCAAACTTATGGACTTATTTGTTAAAAAATAAGTTGGAATTAGAGTGCAAATTTTTGTCAAACACGTGGACCATTTATGTAATTTACTCTATTTTTTTTTATTAGGAGGACCATTTATGTAATTTACTCTATTTTTTTTATTAGGACTATAATCGAAACAACTACCAAAATTTTGGACACATTTGTTAAAAAAATAAGTTGGAATTAGGGTGCAAACTTTTGACAAACACATAATCCATTTATATATTATGAGAAATTTCATCAAATACTATTTTACTCTGTTTTTTATAAGGAACATAATCGACACAACTATCAAACTTTTGGACTAATATGGTAAAAAGGTAAGTTGGAATCAGGGTGCAAACTTTTGACAAACATATAAACCATTTATATAGTTTACTCTATTTTTTATTGGGACAATAACCGAAAAAACTACCAAACTTATGGACTAAATGGACTAATTTGTTAAAAAGTAAGGTATTATCTTGATAACATATGTATATATATTTTTTCCAAATGACAAGATTAATTAAGCAACTAGCAAAGCGCTAGAAAAAAGAACAATAAATAAACAAATTTAGTTAGGGTACTTTAAAAAAGAATTTCATCGGGTTCTTTGAGTTGAACAAAAAAGAATTCAAAAGTAAAATCGGCTAAATATCATAAAAATCGTAAGGCTACTACAAATTAAGTAATGACATTCTTTATATAGGAATACTTGATGTACAAATATACACATGTTGAATTATATGTGACAAAATTTGACATTTAAGACTCGTACGACACTAGAGAAAAATCATGTGACAAAAATTGACATTTAAGACTTGTACGACACTAGAGAAAAAGGAAATAATGTTATACTCAAAGAACAAATGTTTTCATGGTTTATTTATGTCAAGATGCTTTCTTATTAATATGATTTGCAACCAAAAAACAAGTTCTTTTCTGTTTAGTATTTTATTTTTGCTTTTATAGTAGCGACTATGTAAGGTTCGCCTAATAATGATATATTTCTCGTTAACGTATGAACATATATGAGCACTTGATCGATTTTGATCAAATGACAAAATAGACGGGGTTAAATGTCAAAAACTGGTCTTAAATGGAAAAGTTAAATGGTTTTATATATCAACAACTAGCAAAGTAGATAGAAATAAATAATAATAACAAAAACAACAGATAAAATTTGGGCTTTGATGGACCATAAATTTCTTCCTACAACCAAACTATATATATACGGGAAATTCAACAATTGAATAAAAAATTCTCTTTTTTTCAAAACTATTTCAACCAGACATCAAAGCATTCCGAAAGTTCGATAAGATCCAATGGATCATAGTAATTGTGACAATTTCAATATCCAATTTCTATAATCCCAACGATATTTTATGTTACAATCTCTCTCGTTCAAATGCATAAAGTCGATGAAATAATTTTTCAAATGATGCATCTCTATTCAAACTTCATCCCCAAAAGATGTAGTTTCTCTATTTCCCTTTCTTAAAATCCAAAAACAAAATTATTCTTTTTTCATGCAACTGATTAATTGAATTATTAATTCTCTTCCAAACACTATGACCACAAATATTCCCATCCAATTGTATGACATCCCCATCGTGACCATGAATAGCCTTGATGAGAGTCACCCACAAGGCTTTTTTTTTATCTTCATTTAATGGATCTCCATCTCTAGTTTGGTAATAAGGCATAATTAAAATTGAAGATAAATGACGAAATATTGCAGACTATATGCCTACGGAACTCAGACACGTGCAATTCACGTGCAATTTCAACAAGGAACATCAAAATATTTACATAGAACTTGATATAGCTTGTGGTCTGAACCTAGTGATCCGACGATTTCAGAATTCAAAAAAATTTGACGGCGGGCAGAAACGACAACAACGTTCTTTCATCATGACGGAAGACGATGGATGGCAAAGGGCGGGACGAACGCAGAGAAGAAACGTATTCAATCGAATAACTAGTGATAGGCAAGAGAAATTAGGTTCTATCTCATCAAATGGAAAGTCAGTGAGTGCAATTTCCAAAAAGTATCTACATTACCAATTTCCCAATTTCAGTTGATCGACTTCATTTATCGAAGATGGTGACTGTTGTTGATGTGTATATATCACCAAAATTGTCAAGGTTTGGTAAAATATATGGATTAATTAGGTTTGCTTTGAACGCTGATGTGGAATCCATTGCTAAGAAGGTTTGTGAACTCTGGATTGGTTCAATTAAATTGTTTGCATATTCACATGTGCATGCTCGAGGGGTAACTAAGACTAGACAACCACATGTGTTAGGCCCGAAACAAAAAATCGTAGGTCCATACAGGGAAGTCCAATTATAAGTCCTATGCAACGGTGGTAGCTCCAAAAATAAGATCTGTGATTGAAAGGTATTCGGATGATTATGTTTTTGACAAGAAATACACATAGAAGGTAGTTATTGCTAAAGTCAATGTAACATCTTGATGTTGATGTATTTCCATTTTTAACCCTAAGTATGGGAATTAGTTGCATTTTAGTCCTTGATATGAGAATTGTGGCAAATTGAACAAAAATGACATTTTTGTAATTTTTGGGACTTCACCATGTACGCTAGGCGTAACCCTAGGTACGCTGGGTGTACGTGCCGAAATCCCAAACCCTAATATTTAGGGTTTCAACCTTTGCAATCCCTAATTCGTTTTTGAGCATTCTTGAGCCATTTGTGTGTTTTGGTGTTCATAGAGGAAGAAGAAGGAAAAGAGAACAACTTAGAAGCTTGGAACAACCTTGGATTTGGAATTTTTGCACCTTCATACAACCCTAGAAGATATAAAGTTCATACCTTGATGCTTATTTGGTTAGATCTAGCTTGTATGTTGTTATTATGTGCTTTTGTCCCCAATCAATGATGTTCTTGAGTACGACATGCTCTAGACCCAATTGGATTGTCCTTCCAGACGTTTTGGAGTGTCTAAGGTCATAAAAATGCAATCTTGATTGTTAGTTTCCTTCCATGCATGATCTAGGTTGTCTTAATGAGTTAAGAAGTTAGGGTTTTTTGTTATTGGGAACTTGCTAGCCATGCAATACCATAAAGTTGGAAACTTTATGGTTAAGGAGATTAGTTTAGGCTAGATCTGAGAACTGGATGAAAGAGCTTAAGGAAATAAGCTCTTAATAGAAGGATTTAGTGAAGGCAGCGTACGCTGGGTGTACCAGGTCAACATCGTGTTTTTTTGGTGAAACTCGTGTATGCTTAGCGTACAAGCTGAGTACGCTGGGCATACTCAACTGTGTTGACTAAGGGTATTTTGGGTATTTTGAGTTGTATTTGAGATTGGTCACTATTTGATGAATAGGTGAAGGGTAGAGCTGATATTCGGAGCAGAGACCTATTTAACTATTTGTTCGGACTGAGAGGTGAGTTTTCCCCATTGTACTTATGGGTTGAAGGCACCAAGGCCAACCAATTGGATTTGGTATCCTGTTTTATTATGTTTTGTTATGCTAAGATATGTATTGAATGGTTATGTAATTAGACTCGTAGATCTGTAGGACTACCTGTGTTTTTTGGTTGTTGTTTGATATTGAATTATCGACATGTCATTGTAACATCCAAAAATTTCAGATAAAATTTTTCATTTTAAATTCATTCCAATCATATGATAATCATATCAAAACAGTCAATAGTATATCATAGTAAAATGTTATCAGAGCACAAAATCCCAAAATCACATGATGCGGAAAAACATAGGTGGTTGCAGTGCGATCAGGCCGAACCCTTCCCCTTCGAGTTGGAAGTACCTGAAACATAAACTGAAAACCATAAGAATAAAGCCTAGTGAGTTCCTCCAAAATACCCCATACCATACATATATAATAGTAAAAAAAACATACTGGGTCTATTTTACCCCTTCAATATCTTTCAACCAGTACTGGGTCTATTTAACCCCCTTCGGTATCTTTCAACCGGTACTGGGTCTACTTCACCCCCTTCGGTATCTTTCAACTGGTACTGGGTCTATTTCACCCCCTTTGGTATCTTTCAACCGGTATCGAGTCTATTTCACCCCTACCACTAACACATATAATCATAACAATAAGGGTCACAAAGACATAAAGCAGATACATGCATAACTGGTAATTGTCACGAAGACCATCATCACACTACAAACACAATCTAGTGGGCCAACATTGGTGCCTTTGACCCATGGATACAATTAATGAAACTCACCTCAGACTGAAGATATCAAATCACACTCAGGCTGCTGACTCGTGAAATCCTCTCACTAAATCACAAGTAAGAAACCCTAATTAGAAATTAGGTCAATAATCCAACCCATGAGCCCGAACCCTAAATCCTTACTTTAAGGGCACCAAGGCTGCTTAATCCTTGCCTTATTGGGCCTACCCCACCAAGGCCTAAGTCCAAAGTATCCTAAAAGGCATTCTAGGTCCAACTAAAAGGACCCTAAGGCCCAACGTGGGCCAAGAGCTCCCTGATGGCCTAAAGCCCACTAATGACCTGATACCACAATTAAACCTAAGGCCTAAACTCAATCAAGGAAAAAAAGCCCATCAAATTCTGAGCCCAAAACGCCCAAGCTCACAGACGGACGTACATGCGGTGTACCTGGCTCGTACGCCCAAAATACGTCGTTGATCTGGAATCGGGGTGCTAGCCCAGTACATCAACGTACTTACGAGTATGCCCAGCGTACTAGTTGGACAACCAACCTTCTCGAATTGTCTTAACCCATTAAGATTTTGACGACAAATTTCAGATCCAAGGTCAATAAAGTGTATTAAGCCATAAAGTTGCAAATTTTATTCTTTTGCATGCCTTAAAAGGGTCAAATTATTGAACTTTATTACACTAACTTCATGAAACCACCTTCAACCCTTGCATGGTTGAACTTAACCCATCAAGACTCAATTTTTATGCTCAAGGGACATCAGAGGAACTATGATCTAACATTATTTTCTTTTGGAGTAGCTTATACTCTCAAGAACCACCTTAAGGACCATAATATGAAGAACATAAGCCTTATACTAAAACTAACACATGGAGTCATCAAGGTAGGAGCTTTTTACCACCAATAAGCTACAAATGATGAGAAACCTCTGGATCTACAAGCTCTTTCTGGTCCAATGCTTCTTCACAAATCTTCTTCTTCTTTACTAAGCACCACACACACATACACACACAAGCTCAAACTTTATGGAAAATGGATTAGGGTTTCGATATATGGCTCAAGAGGCAAAGGAGGCTGATAAGGCGAAGGAGTTAATGTGTTTAAGTAGGTTGCAAACCGTAAAATTAGGGTTTGCCCTTAGCTCGCGTACGCCCCTCGTATGCATGGGTACGCCCAACGTATGCAGGGGACACCCCCCGTTTCGTGCTTGCATGGGAGTACGCGATGCGTACCTTGTGTACGCCCATCGTACTCTGGTCTAGTCCTTGAATAATAAAAAATGATTGCAAAAGTTTTAGCCTGGTGATTCGAGTGTTACAATTCTCCCCCACTTGAATAAGACTTCGTCCTCGAAGTCCGATGTCGTAAATAACCTTAGATAATGCTCCCACATCTCTTCTCCAGGCTCCCACGTCCACTTGGAACCCTTCTGGTGCTGCCCCTACACTTTCACCAACCCCACAACCTTGTTACTCAAGGTTTTCATCTTCCGGTCAAGGATCACCACCGGTCTCTCAATGTAGTTCAGGCGGTCATCCACCTGAATATCTTCCAACGGAACCAATATGGAATCATCAGCCAAACACTTCTGCAGCTGAGAGACGTGAAAAGTACCATGAATCTGACTAAGCTCCTCCGAAATATCTAATCGATACGCTACACTGCCCATCCGGTCTACAACCCTGAAAAGACCAATATACCTGGGGCCCAACTTACCCTGCTTCCTGAACCGGATGACACCTTTCCAAGGTGACACCTTCATGAGTACTATATCCCCGACCTGGAACTACAAGTCTGACCGACGTCTGTCTGCGTAGCTCTTCTTCTGACTCTGCGTTGTTTGAAGTCTACCCCGAACCTGTTGAATCATCTCGCTCGTCTTAAGTACCACCTCGGTACTCCCCATGACCCGCTGACCGACCTCACCCCAACATATTGGGGTCCTACACTTCCTCCCATAGAGCATCTCAAAAGGAGGTCGATCGATGTTGGCATGATAACTGTTGTTCTACGAAAATTCCACTAACCGAAGATATGTATCCAAACTACCGCCAAAATCCAAAACGCATGCCCGCAGCATATCCTCCAATGTCTGGGTGGTCTTCTCACTCAGACCATCTGTATGTGGGTGAAAAGCCATGCTGAAGTGCCAGCGAGTACCCACATCTTCGTGGAATCTCTTCCAAAACCTGGAAGTAAACCGAACATCCCTATATGAGACCACGAAAACCGGAACCCCATGGCATGCCACAACCTACCGAATGTAGATGTCTGCCAATGTCTCCGAAGAGCTACTCTCCTGAAGTCGGGATAAAATGTACGCCCTTGGTTAATCGATCCACGAGACCGATAACAAATCCACTCTGCACCGTCCGAGGCAATTTAGTGATAAAATCCATCGTAATCTCTTCCCATTTCCAAACGGGAATATCTAATGACTCCATTTTTCCGTGGGGCGACTGATGCTCATCCTTGACTTTCCTACAAGTCAAACACCTCTCCACATACCATGCCACATCCCACTTCATACATGGCCACCATTAATTAGGTTGGAGATCTCTATATATCTTTTTCGCTCCGGGATGAATAGAGAATCTCAACTTGTGCACCCCTTCCATCAAAATATGCCGAAAACCACCCTAATATGGAACCCACACCCTTTGATGAAGGGTCAATAACCCCCGACTATCATAATCGAATGAAGCCACTTGTCCCACAATACGCTC